TAGAATATATAGAATAGAATAGAAAATATAGAATAGAATAGAAAATAAACTTTAGAATAGAATATAATTTAAAACAGAACAGAAAATAGAATATATAGAATAGAAAATATAGAATGGAATAGAAAATAGAACAGAACAGAATAGAATAGAAGCTGGAAGGGACCTTTGAGGTCATCTAGTCCAGCCCCCTTCTTAAGCAGGAGACCCTACCATTTCAGACAGATGCCTGTCTAACATCTTCTTAAATAAACCCAAATGACCTAATGTTCCTTTGTCAAATCCTAACTCCGAGCACCATGCATCATTTGAAATACCAAAAAACAAAAATCAGTCGGCCGACCTCTGCTGGATCAAACCGGCGGTTTATTTATTCCAGCTCTTTCCAGAGCCTGGAGGTGCGTTTTTCTGCTTTGCAATCTCTGCCTCTGTGACCCTTTTCCTGGGGGAAAAAAAAATTACAGGTAGTTCTCAACTTCCAACAATTTGTTTAGTGACTGAAGTTACAGCGGCACTGTACAAAGTGACTTAGGACTGTTGTTTCACTCTTATGACCGTTGTGGCATCCCCGTGGTCACAAATCTGGATGTTTGGCAGCTGACTCATATTTACGACGGACGCAGTGCCTGGGGGGCTCATGTTGATCCCCTTTTTGTGACCTTCAGACAAGCAAAGCTGAATTCGCTTAACAACCATAAAAACTGCAACAACTGTGGGAAGAAAGGTCGTAAAACGGAGGCCAAACTCTCTGAGCTCTCTTGCTTAGCGATGGAAATTTTGGGCCCCGTTGTGGCTGTAACTCGAGGACTACTTCTAGACAGGGCCCCACCGTTGAATCTCCCTCCACAACTTTGGTTGGGATCACGGGACGCAGAAAACTGTTCTAAGTACATGCCAGTTTCCCAACATCTTGAATTTGAACCACGTGATCGCAGGAATGCCACAACGGTGGTCAAGGGTGAGAAACGGTCTTCCCCCAGCGCCGTTGTTAATTTCGGACGGCCGCTAAATGAAGTGTGGTAAGTCGAAAAGAACCTTGCCTGTATTTCCCTGGGTTTTCAAAGCGGTTGTGTGATGACCCAGGTGGGATACAAATTAAACACAGTCGCAAAAACCCAGTGAAGCCCCTTTTATTCCTTCCCTTTGCTTCAAAGCTCCAAAATATCCTTGAATGGAGACAAAAAAAACCTCCCGCACAAGCGGTTACGGAAAAGGAGAAAATGCCGTTTAAACTAAAAATGCCTATAAATTATAAAGAGTAAAAACAACACAAATTACACAAACCACTGAAACAATTTTAGGAAGCAGGCAAGATAAGGGCTTGAAGATAACCAGATATTGGAACACACACTGGGGAGGACGCCAAACTCAGAGGGGAACGACAGACTATGGATATTTCCACGTTTCGTTTCCAGCACTGGCCCATACGCACGTCCATCCTCTTATCCAGTTCTCACATCTGCAGCCCATCAAGGGGATCAAGGCCCTTTCCTCCCTCCGTAGACCATGCCATTCTCTTCTCTCCCTTATTCTCTCCTCCCTGCGTGTCCTAGGATGGAGAGGGGATGGGCCTGGGTCCTCCTCTGACTGCCCGGCCGGCCTCTGCCCTTCCCCAGCCTCCTCCACAACCTCCGGAGCCACACTCCCACTCCCTGTCGGCTGTTCCTTCTCCCCCTCGGAGTCCGTCTCCAACAGGGGCACGACACGGTGTGTGTTTGTGTGCGATGTTCTTTAAGAGTTCTTAGAAGCCCAGCTGGGAGGGTGTCCAGGTCCTTTTTTGGGGCATGGCCGAACAGCTGGCAGTGACTCACTTGGGCGACGTGCTTCCCCGCCATGCCCACCCACCCAAAATACACACGCTGGTTGTACTTTCTGAAACAAATACTGAGGTCAGCAGAACTGCGGCCTCCTTAGCAGTCGGAGCACCGATCGCATGCAGCTACTCCTGCGTAGACGGTGGGGAAAAAGGCTCTGGGGTGGGGCTGTTTTTTCTGACTTATCCCCCTCCTCTTCACAGCTTGCCTCCCCCCGCCCACCCCCCCATTTTAATCCCAGCCAGGCATTGATTTATGGATTGGACTTTCAAAAAATAATAATCTTGCCTTTGTTTTTGGGTGTATAAATAACTCAAGAGGATGCGCCTACCTACGTAATAGTCCTCGCTTCTCCTGTTGTTTCCACAACAACCCTGTGTGGTGGGTTGGAGAGAGAGGGAGGGATTGGCCCCAAATCACCTAGTTGGCTTCAGTGGGACTAGAACTCACTGTTTCCTCGGGATTGGGCCACCCCAGGCTGGCTTTCTTTACCTTCTTTCTTCTCCTCCAGGGCTGGGATTCAATTTTTTTAAACAACCGGTTCTGTGGGTGTGGCTGAGTTGGAGGGCGTGGCTTGGTGGTCATGTGACTGGGTGGGCGTGGCTTGGTGGTCATGTGACTGGGTGGGCGTGGCCAACGCAACATCACTCACATCGAGGCACGCATCTCCTCGCCTGGCCTCTCGTGACTGTGAGGATGCTGCAACAGTCGTAAGTGTGAAAAATGGTCATAAGTCACTTTTTTTCAGTGCCACTGTAACTTTGAATGGTCCCTCGACACTAGCAAAGTACCAGCAAAGGAGGGGGAAAAAACTCCAGAGAAGTTCCTGAGACAGGAAGTCTAGTCCTGCCAAGAATGTTATAAGGGTGGACGGAGAAGCAGTTTCTGTAAGCAACACCAGAATGTTTCCTTCCTGCCTTCCTTACAGGATTAGTCCTGTAATTTCTTCTAACAACCGGTTCTCCCAACTGCTTAGAACGTTAACAACTGGTTCTAGCGAATAGGTGCAAACTGGTAGAATCCCACCCCTGGGCTCCTCCCTCCTTTTTCTTTTCTTTTTCTTTTTATTCTTTCTTTCTCTTTCCTCTTCCTTCTTTCCTCTCATCGTTCTTTTTCTTTTTCCCCTTTCTTTCTTTTCTTTCTCCTCTTTCCTTTCCTTTCCTTCTCTTCCCTCCCTCCCTCCCTCCCTCCCTTTTTCTTTCATCTCCTCCTTTCTTTTTTCTTTCCCTCCCTCCCTCCTTTCTTTCTTTCCTTCTCTTTCCTCTCATCCCTCCCTCCTTTCCTTCCTTTTTTCTTCTTCCTTCCTTCCTTCCTTTCTTTCTCATTCCTTCTCTTCTTTCTTCCTTCCTTTCTCTCTTTTTCTCCGTCTCCTTCCCCCTTCCTTCATTTTTTTCTTCCTTCCTTCCTTTCTCTTTTTCTTTCTTTTTCTCCTTCCTCCTTTCTTTCCCACCTTTATTATTTTTACCAATAATTCAAGGCAGCATATACACCCTCCTCCTCCTCCTATTTTCCTCACAACAGCAACAACCCTGTGAGGTGGGTTGGGCTGAGAGGGAGAAAGAGAGAGACAGAGAGGGAGGGACTGGCCCTAAGTCACCCACCCGGCTTTCCTGCCTAAGGCGGGACTAGAACTCCCCACCTCCTGGTTTCTAGCTGGTGCCTTCACCGCTAAGCCAAACCATGGAAGTGATGCAGAAGTATTTGCTTGCTGGGGATGTCTTAAAAGTTTGGCCAAGCTGGGAAAACGCCAACCACCTTGAACCAAACAGCTTAATTCACCACCTCTGTGGCAGGTTCATTCTTCACTTACCTACAATGTTCCCAAGAAAGAGACCAGGAAGAATCTGGAAAAAGATTTAAAAAAACAACAACACATATTAGTGTAGAAATTTTTTATCATTCACACAACACTTTAACCTGGCCTACCAAGGAATCAAACAGGTCACAGATTCATCGCTTGCCCTCAGAAGTTGTGGGAGCTTCATCCCTGGAGGCTTTCAAGAAGTGGTTGGACTGCCATCTGTCAGAAATGGTGTAGGTTCTCCTGCTTGGGTGGGGGGTTGGACTAGATGACCTACAAGGTCCCTTCCAACTCTGATTATCTGTTATCTGTTAACATCCCTTCGGCCAAAGCCAGCCCTTGGGCATCCCTAAACCCTAAACTGGGGTTTTAGCCAGCACAAATATTGGCTTCAGGTGGCATGCGAGGCCTGAAGAAATAAATTATATTCAGATTTAATATAATTTATTTCTTCAGGCCTCGCATGTCTCCTGAAGCCTATGTTTGTGTTGGCTAAAACCCCATGCCAACCAGGAAGGAACAGGATAAAAAAATTAAATAAATTTCAGAGCGACAGATCCAAAGCCTCCGCCAGCTCATTTTTCACGCAATCCTCAACTTTATGACCGCAGCTGAGCATCCGCTGCTAAGCAAAACATCCATTTAGTGACATGTTGCCTCATATTACGACCTTTCTTGCTACAGTTAAATGAATCCCCTGCAGCTGATAAGTTAGTCACATGGTCGTTAAGTGAAGCTGGACTTCCCCGCTGACTTGGCTGGTCAGACGGTCGCAAAAGGGGATTGTGTAACACACATACCCGGCGCTGCGACTGTCGTAAATACGAGTCAGTTGTCCATGCGGCTGAATTTTGATCACGTGACTGAGGGGTCGTCACTGAAAAATGATCGTAAATCACTTTTTCAATCCTGTTGTAACTTTGGTCACTAAATGAATGGCTGTAAGTGGAGGACCACCTGTAATTTATTTTTCCAGGCCCAACATGTCGCACGTGTGGGTTAAAAAAACCCAGTTGTGGCTTTAATGTCTCACGCAAAGCCCGAACAACCAGGAACAAGGGAAAAAAATAAATAAATTTTAGATTCAAAGCCATCCAGCTACACACCCCACCCCACCCACTGACTCACAAGAGAACCTCATCCAGGTGAGCCACACCTTCGATTTTATATCAAGAAAGGTGATCTATTGAAGGAAGTTGACAATATGACAACTTCTCTCGGATGTCAAAAAGGAAGTGTGGTTATTGGACCCACAAGGGATTTGTCTTCGGTGCATAAGCTCTCAGTGTACATAAACACAAAAATAAACATACATTCATCAAGAATCCTAAGATACAATACTTGGTGATAGTCCTAGGTTACTAAATAAGCCATCAAATCATACTAGGAAACAAATAAAACAATATAAATTGTAAAGATAAACTAAATAATCATTTATCTTTATAATAAGCAAGTAAATGTAAAGAACAATTAGACACAAGAACAGTTTTTCCCCAAATGCTATCACTCTGCTAAACAACTAATTCCCACAATACTGCCCAACTATTTACTAAGACTATTACCATTCTTCTTTTCGTCCTTCCTATCTCCTTTTTTTACTTACGACTATAACTGTAACCCTAACCCTTGTATCTTTACAATGTATATTGTTTTATTTGTTTCCTAGTAGGATTTGATGGCTTATTTGGTAACCTAGGACTATCACTAAGTGTTGTATCTTATGATTCTTGATAAATGCATGTTTATTTTTTCCTTTATGTACCCTGACAGCATTTGCACCAAAGACAAATTCCTTGTGTGACTAATCACACTTGGCCAATAAAGAATTCTATTCTATTCTATATTCTATTCTATATTCTGTTCTGTTATTCTATTCTATTATGCTATTCTATTCTATTTTAATCTATATTCTTTAGTTTACTTTATTGTCATTGCACTACAAGGAAATTAAATGTCCATCTTGTTCTATATTCTATTCTATTTTATTCTCTATTCTATTCTATGCTATTCTATGCTATGCTATTCCTATGCCTATTCCTATTCTATTCATTATTCTATTCTATTCTATTCTTTCTTATTCTGTTCTTTTCTATTTCTAGTCTATTTCTATTTTCTATTTTTTATGTTCTATTCTATTCTTTTATATTCCTATCATATTATATTCTCTCTCTATTCTATTCCATTCCATTCCGTTCCATATTTCCTCTTCTTCTCTTCTCTTCTCTTCTCTTCTCTTCTCTTCTCTTCTCCTCTCCTAATTCTATTCTATTCTATTCTATTCCATTTCATTCCATATTTTCTCTTTTCTTCTCTTCTCTTCTCTTTCTTCTCTTCTCTTCTCTTCTCTTCTCTTCTAAAAAACTCATTGTAGTTGTCGGATATAATTTGGGGAAAGGGCACTTTTAACATGCTCTCATCCTTCCCTTTTCTGTCCTGCTTTCAAATGCAGGATGTCCAAACTTCACCAAGATGTCATAAAAAAAAAAAATCTTAAAAATTCCGATGCCCTACCTTACTCATGCCGCTGCCCATAATCCTTCAAAGTGACCTTAGCAGCTCGCCAGCCAAACCGAATGACGTCTTGGGCACGAATTTCCGCCCCCTTCTCTCTTTATCCAAATGTCCAGAGATGGCCACTTCCCTGGGGCAGGCTCTGGGTGAAAATTTACACCCCTAGGCTGGCAGCCCTAGGGATGTGTGTGTGTGTGTGTGTGAGTGTGTGTGTCAGCTGCGTATTTTGTGGCCTGGAATAAATCTGCAGAGGCTCTGTGTGTGTGTGCGTGCGTGTGTTGCACTGTCCTTTCTCCTTTTCTCCTCCTCCACTCGCTTGCTCATCAAAGGAGCTGCTCCTATCAAAATGCCTTTTTTTTCCAGGGTTGGAAAAATCCCACCTCCTTGCAAATGGGGATGGGAGGGGTGGGGGGAATTGGGTGTGTGTGTGTGGGGGGGGGAAGAATCACCCTGCCCTGGTTGCGTGGCTGTTGCGAGCGCACAACGCAAACCCTTGTGCGCAAGAGAATAGCTTCTTTTGTCTCGCCCAGAAGGCAGCTGCGGCTTCACTGGCATCGCGGAGAGTTGGCATCGGACAGTGGAGTGAGGGGGGGATGTGGGGGGCAATAGGACCCCCCCCCCTCCCAGGATAGCCCATATTAAAGCAAAGCAAAGCCCCCAACCCAGTTCTGGAAGGTCCACCAGATTTGGGTGGTTCTGGGCAGCCACGGGTACCAGGGGTGAAACGGGCCGGTCGGCTAAGGGGAAGGGAAGAGGGGAAGGGGGGGGGGTCTTTCTGGGGTGGGCATGGGGGGGCATTCCCAGAAGGGGGGGGGGGGGGCACGCGGGGGGCGGGAGGAGAAGCGGAGAATGCAATGTTCCCAAAGCCAGTGGAATGTACCAAGCTTGGCACTGCCTGCGGGGGAGTAATTGAACCCTTGGGCGGTGGTGGTGGGGGCTCACCTGCCCAAAATAGAACCTGCAAGAGATGGAGGCCACTTTGCCCCACTGTGATAGGGGAGGGGGGGCGATTGGAAGGGAATGGGTACCCGTTTCAGTCATGGGCCCTTGGGAATCTGTTTTGGGGGGGGCAGGTGGCAGGAAGAGGGGCCGGCAGAGCAGAGGGGGGCCAGGGAGTCTTGCTTTGGTTTAGGATCAGAGTCGGCTGGAAGGGAGCTTGGAAGGTCTTCTAGTCCAGCCCAAGGCTGGAGCAGGAGATCCTATCTATACCGTTTCCTTTGAAAGCAGTCAAGGCGTGGGACAGAGGTTGCCTTCGGAAGCGGTGGGAGCTTCATCCCTGGAGGCTTTCAAGAAGAGACTGGATTGGCCTCAGTCAGAAAGGGTGCAGGTTCTCCCGCTTGGGCGGGAGGGTTGGACTAGATGACCTTCAAGGCCCCTTTCAACTCTGTTAATCTGTTAAATCTAGGCTAAAACTTTCATAAAGAAACCGGGCTGCCATCTGTCAGAAATGGTGTTGTAGGGTGTCCTGCTTGGGGCCGGGGGTTGGAATAGATGACCTCCAAGGTCCATTCTAACCCTTGTTATTTTGCAATTCCATAAGGGTCTCCTCCCTGAGCAAGGGGCTGGACTAGAAGACCTCTGGGGTCCCTTCTAACCCTTGTTATTATGCAATTCCATAAGGGTCTGCTCCCTGAGCAAGGGGCTGGACTAGAAGACCTCCGGGGTCCCTTCTAAACCTTGTCATTCTGCAATTCCATAAGGGTCTCCTCCCTGAGCAGGGGGCTGGACTAGAAGACCTCTTAAGTTCCCTTCCAACCCTTATTATTCTGCAATTCCATAAGGGTCTCCTCCCTGAACAGGGGGCTGGACTAGAAGACCTCTTAAGTTCCCTTCTAACCCTTGTTATTCTGCAATTCCATAAGGGTCTCCTCCCTGAGCAGGGGGCTGGACTAGAAGACCTCCGGGGTCCCTTCCAGCTCTATTCTGATGAAACTCCGGAACGGGTCAGGGGAGGGGAGGGGGCGGTAGACGAAGTCCGGAGGTCGCCGCTTGGAGGGCCGGCAGGTGCGGAGCGTTACTCTCGAGGAAGCCAGCCGGGCCTTCCCAAAGGCAGAAGCCTCTCTTCTCCTCCTCCCCCTCCCCTTCCAAAGTTGCGACCACCACCCCCTTTTAGCCTTTACGCCGCTCTGCGCAAGCGCCGAAGAGGGACGAGACCCCTCCCACCCGGCATGCAACGTGGGGCGGGGCTTTCCTATGCCCCGCCCACACCAAACCCCCGCCCCTAGAAGCCTCGGTTGCCCCGGTGACGGGACGCGCCTCCGAAGAAGGACCAGCATGGCCAAGAACAAGGTGGGGCGGTGGGAGTTCCCCCCCCCCCGCACACCCCGGGGAGGGGGGCGGCGTCTCCTTCTCCAGCCCCTTCCAAAGCCCATCGTCCCCAGCCATACCAGCTGGGCGGGGCTTGGGCGGAATAGGGCCGGCTGGGAACTATGGAGGGTCTGGTCCTGCCCAACTGGCACGGGGCTCGTTGAGGATCACACAAGAGTGGATGATGGGGCTTGTAGTGCACCTTTGACCCTCTTCACCCCAGGGGTGCCTGGTTGGGGCAGATAGGGATTCTCCTCCCGGGGCTTCCAAAGCCCATCGCCCCCAGCCATACAGCTGGGTGGTCTTGGGCAGAAGAAGCCCATCATCCCCAGCCATACAGCTGGGCGGGTCTTGGGCGGAATATGGCTGACTGGGGATGATGGAGAGTCCAGTCCTGCCCAACTGGCACTGCGAGGTCGTTGAGCATCACACGAGGGTGGATGATGGGGCTTGTAGTCCACCCTTTGACCCTCAACCCAGGGGCGCCTGGTTGGGGCAGATAGGGATACCCCTCCCAGGGCTTCCAAAGCCCATCGTCCCCACCCAAACCAGCTGGGGGGGTGGTCTTGGGCAGAAAAAGCCCATCATCCCCAGCCATACAGCTGAATGGGTTTTGGGTGGAATATGGCTGACTGGGGACAATGGAGAGTCTGGTCCTGCCCAACTGGCACCGCAATGTTGTTGAGCATTACACGAGAGTGGATGATGGGGCTTGTAGTCCATCTTTCGACCCTCACCTCAGGGGCTCCTGGTTGGGGCAGATAGGGTGGGGCTTTTGAACCTTGCAAGCTGGCATGGCAATACGGGATGCCAACTGATCGCAGCCAGCAACATTCAAAGGAATCGTGGTTTATTCGCATCGGGGATTGTTTGAAATCTTCCTGGTCATTTCACATGGCGCCTTGATCTGGGTTTGTCCAACCTGGGCGCTTTAAGAGGTGGGGACTTCAACTCCCAACATTTCCCAGATGATCTATAAAGATAGTCCTCAATGTACGACCACAAGAGACCCCGAATATCTATCACTAAGTGAGACAGTGGTTAATTTTGCCCCATTTTACAACCTTCCTTGCCACTAAGTGAATCATTGCAGTTGCTCCAACGGTCACTAAATGAACTGTTGTAAGTCAAGGACTATCTGTGCCCCCACAATTCTTGGATTGCAGCAGGATAAAAATGCGGCAAAGAGATTAAAAAAATATCAATGCAGGTAACCTCGATTTACAGTCACAACTTGAGGCCACAATGTCTGTAGCTAAGTGAGGCAGTAGTTAATTGTCTCCCAGTTTACGGCCTTCCTTGCCACTAAGCGAAACACTGCAGTTGGTAAATTAGTAACCTAATTGTTAAGTGAATCTAGTTGGATTGCAGCAGGATAGAAATGTGGCGAAGAGATAAAAATATACATTCAGGTAGTCCTTGACTTATGATCACAATTTGAGCCAAAATTTCTATCACTAAGCAAGGCAACTGTTAAGTGAGTCATGCCCAATTTTACAGATTATTTTTTTTTTGCCTTGGATGCTAAATAAATTTATAGGTTGTAAATATTGGTAAAGTTTCTATCAGAAAAAAACATTTTTAGTAAAAATATTCATCTTAATTACAGAGGAACTACTCAATAAAGTATTTATTTATTTATTTTATTTGTCAAGCGATTATAAGATAACAGGTGTAAGTATAAATATAGTTATGAACACATGAAATGGATACATCTAAGAAAAATAAAAAGAAACAATAGGACAGGGACGGTAGGCACGTTGGTGCGCTTATGCGCGCCCCCTACACACCTCTTGGGAAAGGGGTGAGGTCAATAGTAGACAGTCTAAGGTTAAAGTTTTTGGGGTTTGGCAAAGAAACCACAGAGTCAGGTAGAGTATTCCAGACATTGACCCCTCGGTTGCTGAAGTCGTATTTCCTGCAATCAAGTTTGGTGCGATTAACCTTAAGTTTGTATCTATTGTTTGCTCTTGTGTTGTTATGTTTGAAGCTGAAGTATTCATTGACAGGTAGGACATTGCAATGTATGATTTTATATACTACACTTAGATCGGACCGAAGGCGATGTAGTTCTAGCTTTTCTAGGTCTAGAATTTCAAGTCTGGTGGCATAAGGTATTCTGCAACAAGTAGAGGAGTGGAGAACTCTTCTTGTGAAATATTTCTGGACTTTCTCAACTGTGCTAATATCAGATACGTAATGTGGGTTCCAGACTGATGAGCTGTATTCGAGTATAGGTCTAGCAAATGTTTTGTATGCTCTAGTTAGTAGCGTGATATTACCAGAGAAGAAGCTGCGTAGGATTAGATTAACAACTCTTAATGCCTTTTTTGGCTATGTGGTTACAGTGGGCTCTAGCACTTAGATCATTAGAGATGAGTACTCCAAGGTCCTTGAGTTTCATCCCTCCTTAAAAGGTCTTTTTTTGAAAACAAATATCCTTCCAAAGAGGCCCAAAAGTTATTTCAAAACTATTTAGAATTTGTAATTTGGATCTCGTTGCAGAATGCAAACCATAAAGGACCGCATGGTTGCCAAAAGCTGAAAGAACGGTGAGTGGTTTTCTTTTTTTATTCAAAAAAATTTTTTTTTTAAATTTAGGCAGAAAAAAGAAATCAAAGGTGTATAAGTACAGATTAGGAGACCTGGCTCAAAAACAGTGACTGAGAGAGGGACCTCAGAATCCTAGTGAACAATCCCTTAAATATGAGCTAGCTGTGTGCGGCGGCAGCCAAAAATAGCTAATACAATCCTTGGTTGCACAAACAGAGGCATAGAATCAAACTCAGGTGAAGTATTAGTACCACTTTATAAAGCCTTAATAAAGACACACCTGGAATCCTGCAACCAATTTTGGCCACCACACTACAAAAAAAAGATGTTGAGGCTTTGGGGGAAAAAAGTGCAGAGAAGAGTAACTAAGATAATTAAAGACCTGGAGACTAAAACGTATGAAGAAGGGCTGCAGGATTTGGGTTGGGCTAGTCTAGAGAAAAGAAGGACCAGGGGTGACATGATAGCAATATTCCAATATTTGAGGGGCTGCCACAAGGAGGAAGGGAGCGGGTCAAATGATTCTCCAAAGCCCCAGAAGACAAAACAAGAAACAATGGATGGGAACTCAAATCAAGGAGTAGAAGCAACCTGGAATTAAGGAGAAACTTCCTAACAGTGAGGACAATTAACCAGCGGAACTGGAAGTTTTTAAGAAAAGAGTGGTCACTGGTCAGTGTTGAAGGTAATTCCCCGTTAGGAGAATGAGCGCACACAGGGAGACGTACTGAAAGTGGTGAAGAATAACACACAACCAGCACACAGATACACTGTACAGTAAAATGTAAGTTTTACTTCCAGTAAACAGTTAAGCAAAGTCCAACAAACAGTCCAAGTAATACACAGTTATAGCAGTCAGTTTTCAGTCCAGGGATAATCCAATAACAAAGTCCAGGATCATAAACAGTTTAGTAACAGACTGACATCAAATCTAAGAAGAACGATGATGATCAGCAATAGTCAAGAGGGAAATGCAGTCACAGCAACACTCTCAACAACAGGACAAAACAACCCAGGTTTCTTGCTCCATCTTATGGCCGTTTGAGGAACCACACCCCATTACAATTTTAGCATTCCCTTAAAGAGACAGTATTAAAATGTCTATCCTGGTTTATATATATTTCCAACCCAACTGTTAAGTGACTTACATTCCTAACAGTCAGTCCCTTGTCTGAAATAGTATAGGGTCTCCTCTTGAGCAGGGGGCTCGACTAGAAGACCTCCAGGGTCCCTTCCAGATTCTATTCTATTCTATTCATAAGTATACACGAAGAAGAGAGTTAGGAAACCAGCTGGTGAGGAGGAGTACCTCTGTGTGTGTGCTTGTGTGTTTGTGTATGTTCATGGGCCTCCCCAAAAGAGGACAGGGCATTGGCACACCATGCATGAAGGCACAGACGTGAAGCAAAGTAGTGATAGTCCTCATTTAGTGACCACAATGAAGGCCGGCCCCTCAGTTAAGCAAAGGAGCCACTAAGTGAAACCATAGCTCTGCTTTAATGGCCTCCCTACAGCTCTCCTTTGTCTCACACACCTGCAAAAGTTGTCAGAGGCCACAAATGCCCACCAGGCTATTTTTCATCGCCGTAGTAACTGTGGACGGTCGCTGAAGGAGGCAGTCGCTGAACAAGGACTACCTGGGTAGAATTTGGCCTGCTAACAAATTGGCTTCATTTGCATGGCGATGGCATGACACAACATGACATCCTAAAGGCTTGTGCCAGATGATTGCATGACATCTCTTGATGTCATACAAAAATGATTGGCGCAGTAGCAATAAGGATGCAGTCATTAAGTGATCCTGAGGTCCTTATGTGAACCTACTCTTTGCAATGGGGTGTGAGGTTTTGGCCAGGAACTCTACTGCCAAACTTCTATTCTGTTCTGTTCTGTTCTAGTCTAGTCTATTATTTCCTATTCTATTCTATTCTATTCTATTCTATTCTATTCTATTCTATTCTATTCTATTCTATTCTATTCTATTCTATTCTGTTCTGTTCTGTTCTGTTCTATTCTATTCTATTCTATTCTATTCTATTCTATTCTTTTTGTACCCTATGACTATCATTAAGTGTTGTACCTGATGATTCTTGACTCTTGACGGATGTCTCTTTTCTTCTATGTACACTGAGAGCATTTGCACCAAGACAAATTCCTTGTGTGTCCAACCACACCTGGCCAATAAAAGAATTCTATTCTATTCTATTCTATTCTATTCTATTCTATTCTAT